GCACCAAACTATGGCCCATGCAAGCACACATTGACCCACCATGATCCACTTCATTCTAAACGCGAGGCCTTCAGCGCCCCTGCCAAGCACGCGCGAGCGTGCAGTGCAAGCAAAGGTTCAGGGGAACATACCTGTGCTAGTAGCTTCGGCTTCGTTTGCACACGAATTGAAACAACCATTAGTAGCTTCGATCAAAGCCATTCATGTGTAAAAAAAAACGCAAAAAAAATATTATTGATCTTTGGAGAGCAAGTCTCTTGGTCTACTTTATGAATAAAAAAGCCTGACTGAGGAACACATATAAGGGGAAAAACACACGGCCCCAAACATTGCTAGAGTTCTAGCCGAACTCGCTTGCGCCCGAGAGACCAAGCAGCCCTCTGACACCGTACCCGGGCTGGACGGGGCGGACTTTAGACGGTGCGGCGTCAGGCCCACAGCGACGACACAGCAGCTCCACCGCCCTCACGTTCTCAAGCGTCAAAAACACAATTGTCCATTGTCTCTGAGCACAGTCCAACGCCAGGCTTCCAAAAGGTCACTCACCATCCGATTCCCGTGAAGCCGTGCTCGATGAAATGGAGAATAGTGGCGAGCCGGAGGCTGTCAATCACCTGTCCTAAATCGAGACTCGCACTTGTTTGTGTAGTGGTCGCGTGGGGCCATTACGGGTGGGTGGTAAGAGACAGGGAAAGCTAGGATAAAGACAGCGCCCCGAAAGGCCTGTAGAGATGCTGGAAAGGCTTACATTGCCGTGGCGCGTGGGACGCGAGATGGTCGGTGGCCGAGGACCAAGCGGGCACACCGGTAAAGGAAGACACGACACGCCAGCTCGGAGTTTCGATCAAGACTGCTTGTATTTACAATATCTGCATCAATCAGCGCGTGCCGCTGTCAAGCACGCGGCGCGCGGCACCATCTCAAATGCAGGTGAAAACGCCATCTAGATTATTTACAGCACACTACATCTTCTCCTCCCTTAATAGAAAAATAAATGTTGGATAATTTATTAGGGAAGAGAACAAAACAGCTTACTCCTTAAAGAAAATACAGAGTTCACGCACACACAAAAATCCTACCAATCACGATAAGCGAAAAAAATATACAGAAGCTAATATAATAACGAAAGGAAATACTGTTAATGGTGCAGTCGTTATCTGGGACACTGCTCTTTGTCGAGACACATTAAGTTAGACTGAAGCGTGTACAAAAAAAACACTAGACTTATAAAACAAAATTCTGCATACGGGAGTAACACTAAATGTCAAATGTTCTACCCGTAGTGGGACTGGGTGAACAAACCTCTAACACATAGTCTCTCAATCGTGCCGGCAGACGTCTCTGTCGCCTTGGGCGATGATTGTCCGATGGAGATGCCTGGGGAGTCGTAGGGGTGGATGGCTCCGATCCATCACGATCACTTGCTGTTGGTGATGATTCTAGTGTCACGTCAAGAGTATCTCCAGAGCCCTCTGTTAAAGTATGGTCCATTGGAGGCTCGGAAAGTGTGGCGACCTCTGGTCCCACGGAGTTCAGGGACTCCGCCGAGACCGTTGCGGAGCTAGATGATGGCAGCTCGCTCCAATACCCGAGTCCCAGTTGAGATGAACTTGATGCGGTGCTCAATATGGCACCACTTGAAGGAACGGAAGGTTCAGAACCCTCCTGGGCAGCGACCCTGGGGGCCTCTTGGAAGACTGCAGCCGGGGCAGCCGGCGGGACTGGTGGCTGGCTGCTGGCTTGATTGCCTGGTACGGCGGCACGGAAGGCCGCTTGGAAACCGGAATCAGGAATGGCACCGGGGACTGGGGTGGCGGGAAGGCCACCGAAGACCACCGCACCTTGCACGGCACAGGGTGCCGCGGGAGCAGGAACATGAAGGGCACCGGGTACTTCCGGTACATGGGCAGCGCCAGGCACCACAGCTACATGGCCAGGACCGGGTGCCGTAGAAGCATGGGCGGCAACAGGGTCCGTCGGGACAGGACCGGCAGCAGGGGCCGCAAGAACCGGAACGGCAACTGGGGCCGCAAAAACAGAAACGGCAGCAGGGGCCGCAAAAACAGGAACGGCAACAGGGGCCGCAAAAGCAGGAACGGCAACAGGGGCCGCACTAGTTGAAGTGGGGAATATGTCATCGTCCATAAGCCACAACGGCTGACGTTGGTGTGGTTTCAATGTGGTACGTGTCATTTTGGCTGCGTTCCATGTGTTTCCGTCATCTAATCTATATGTGGCTGGTCCTACTTGTTCCTGTATGCGTTGCGGTGGAGCATACTTGTTTCGCATTTTTCCTCTAATGTTGGGTTTGAAAACCTTTACTGATTGACCAGGAGCAAAAGCAGGGTGCTTAACTGCTCGCCTGGCATCTGAATACTTTTTCATCTTTGTTTGATACTCTTTGACTTTGTCAGGAAGTCCTTCTTGAATGACATGTGAAGGGACGGTGGACTCTGGGGTCCCTCGCCCTTGAAGATGCAGTCGCGTTCGGTGAGTGCGACCATGTAGAAGAAATGCTGGTGTTTCTCCTGTCGCTGCATGGCGAGTACTTCGGTAAACACTGAGATGTTCCGTAATGGCTTCAGAAAGCGGACGATGTTGGACGAGTGCCAACTGAATGACAGACTTAAGAACTCGATTAAATCGCTCTACCTGCCCATTAGCTTGGGGATGGTAGAGGGATGACTTTGCATGCTTGATGCCATGCGTCTTTAAGAAATCGCTGAACTCCTTTGAAATAAATTGTGGACCATTGTCTGTCGTGATCTCTTGCGGCAAACCCTCGCGGGCAAAGACAGACTTCAAAAACTTTATGACTGTGGCAGTCGTGACGTTGTGGGCTGGTGCCACTTCAGGCCACTTGCTGTGGTAATCTACAAGTGTAATGAAAAACCTCTCTTGAGCCGGGGCTCGTTCAAAGGGACCTACTATATCCATGCCCAGTTTTACCCATGGACGGTTGGGGAATTCAACTGGTTGAAGAGGTGCTGGAGATGCCTTTGCAGGCTTGTCTGTCGACTGACATACCGAACAGTTCTGAACTTTCGTCCTGACATGTTGACTTAAATGCGGCCACCAGTAAAGCTCCTTGATGATACTGGTGGTGCGCGAGATACCTTGATGGGTTTCGTGAGCTACATCAATCATTTGATCGCGGAGAGTGGACGGAACCACTATTTTCTCTCCTTGGAACAACAAGGCATCCGTGACTGAGAGCTGGTCTCTTACAACGAAATATGGTTTGAACTCTGAAGGTAACTTGTCCTCTGAAGGCCATGTGTTGGAAAGAAATGTCATGACAATTGGCAATACAGGATCTTTTGCAGTTTCTTCCTTGAATTCTTTTTCTGTGAGGCATGCACAGACGATTGAAACCACTTCCTCCTCAAAAGCCATGCCTTCTTCGGTATATGAGACCGGAAGGCGAGACAGAGCGTCGGCAACTACATTGTCGCTTCCTTTGCGATACTTCATGGTGAAATTGTAGTTGAAAAGTCTAGCCGTCCAGCGACTGATGCGCCGTGGACGCACACCTGTCCCTTGAGTGGACATTAATGTGACCAGAGCTTGATGATCGGTGTGAATTTCGAAATGTCTACCCCAAAGATAAACGTGCCATCTCTCGCAAGCCCAGAGGATTGCGAGAGCTTCTTTCTCTCCTGCTGAGTACTTCCGCTCTGCTTCGGAGAGAGAGCGGGAAGCGAAAGCAACAGTCTTTAGTTGCCTCCCATGCTGCTGCTGGAGAACAGCACCTAGTCCGTAATTGGACGCGTCTGTGGAGACGACAACTGGAAGATTTGGATCGAACATTGCAAGAATGGGAGCCTGCTGAAGGCAGGACTTGACACTTTGAAAACTGGCCTCTACGTCGGTCGACCAGACAAAAGATGCGCCCTTGCGCAGAAGCCTTCGGAGGGGTTCTACCAGAGTAGCACAATGGGGGACAAACTTACTGTAATATTCTACTAGACCTAGGAAGGCCTTCAACTGCGAAGGTTCCGATGGAACTGGAAAATTTAGGACCGCGTCAATCTTCGACGGAAGGGGTGCTAGACCCTCCGCAGACAGACGATGACCAAGGAATGACAGTTCAGAAACATTGAAAACGGCTTTTCTATTTAGCTTCATGCCGGCCTCTCTAATACATTTGAGGACTTGTCTGAGATTTCTATCATGTTCCTTCTGGGAGGAGCCGTAGACAATGACGTCGTCCAGATAAAACTGGACTCCTGGACAATGTTTTAATATCTTAGACATGATCTGTTGGAAGGCCGCTGGTGCAGACGCCAGACCGAAACAAACTCGTTTGAAACGAAAAAGCCCTTCATGGGTAATGAATGCCGTTAAGTCAGGACTCTTGGGGTCGAGACGGACCTGATGATAAGCAGACGCAAGGTCTAACTTAGAAAAATGGGAAGCTCCACTGAGGGAGTTCAGAAGCTCATCAATGTGCGGAAGTGGAAAAGAATCAATAACGACAGCCTGGTTTGGCGCCCGCAGATCGACACACATACGGATTCCACCGTCTTTCTTCTTAACTACTACAATGGGGGACACCCATTCTGATGCGTTTACGCGCTCGATAACGCCTTGGCGCTCGAGCTTCTGGATTTCTGCAGTAACAGTATCACGCAAAGTGATCGGTAACCGGCGAAGTTTAGCCTGTATCGGCGGGACATGGTGTCGGACAGTGATTGTGTGAGTATGGTTTTTAACTAACCCTAACTCGGGTGAAAAGAGATCTTCAAATTCTTCAAAACCAGAAGGTAACTTCGATGCGTCGCTCACCGAGGAAGGTTGCAAAGACGGTCGCGACGTCGACGGATCCCTTGAAGTCTGGTCTCCGAAGACGCCTCTACTTGAGTAGTACTCAGACGACGTGGATGGCTGAGAGCCGTGAACAGTGGACGATGATAGAGGGTGCTTGCAGGGAGCACTTGAAGTACTCGGCGGAGGACTGGGCTCCGCCGCACCTGGGGACTGCGGAACTTCGGCCGACCTTACATGGCCTGGGATGGCTGCGCAAGAGTCCGCAGAATTGACATGGAAACATTTGAGTGGAGCACCCGACAAAATGAGACGAAGTTTATGCACGGCATCTGTCCCAAGCAGGGATCGGCCATTGCGAACAACGTAGAAAAGTAGCTCGGCGGATCGCTCTTTGAAGCCGACTTTGGTCTGGAAACATCCCACGACTGGAATGAACCCTCGGAGGTAGTGAACAAGAGTGCGCGGTGGTTTCCTTAGCCGGATTTGCTGCTGGGAGTTAATTTTATTAAACATGCTTTCGGAAAGTATTGAAACTTCGGAGCCAGTATCAATGAGTAATGGTAATGTAGATCCATTCACCTGAATATCAGCGGTGAAATTGCGTGGGCGACTGTCGGCGCGTCCATTTGGAAGGACTTCCGGTGACCCGACGGTGCAAATTTTCGGCTGCTGCTCCTCTTCGTCAGAAAATGCCACGCTTTCATGGCTGGTTGAGTGGTTACGGCCAACTCCAAGCCGCTGGTACCGGCGACCGGCGGCCCGACCACGTCTCGGCGGAAAGGCCAGCTGACGACGATCGCTGGCAGCGGACGATGGAGGAGAACTCCGGCAAACATTTGAAAAATGGCCTAGTTTGCCACAAGAAAAACAAGACATTCCTGAAGCAGGACATTCCTCACGTGAATGGGGTCGGCGACCGCAGAAATGACATAACTCTGCCCCGTGCCTAAGAGCGCGCGCGCCCGGCGGAGCATCACGCGGTACTCGGCTCACGAAAGTGCGGGTGTGTGCGCGCGACTCGCGCGACTGGTGTTGCGGCGAGAAGGAAACATTTGCGGGGGAGCTGGAAATGGCATACCGCCGCTCTCCATTTTGATCTTGGATGTTCAAATTCGAATTCGATCGTCGGCCATCTTGTTCACGCTGAATAAAAACCCCTTGTACGACCTGAACGGCGTGCGGCGTTCCAGAGCGCGATAAACTGGAGGGAAATTGGCGGTACCGATCGCAATCTCGAGACGCCTGTTCGAACTGCTGTGCTAGAAGCACAATACGTTCGAGGCTGGGTAGTCCAGCTTCCGCAGACTCTCGGATTACCCGATCTTGTACCTCCGATGAATTTAAACCGGCCAAAAAGACTTCCGCGATGCGGTTTTCAAGGGACTCTCCGAAATCACAAAAAGAACCAAGTTGTCTGAGAGCGCTAAGGTAGTCGAGGACGCTCTCTCCCGGGGATTGGACGCGGGTGAGAAATTGCCTGCGTTCGACGACAACGTTAGCTTTGGCAGCAAAATGCTCATCAAGTGCCGCTACTAGCTCATCAAATTCAGAAACGGCCGCGCTGCTGGCGGGGACTGTTGAAGGAAATGTCGAAACTATTCGTTGGCCTTCCAAGCCAAGCAACGCCCACAGTAGTACGCGCTTGCGCTTCGGAGAGCTTTCATCTGCCTCTATGGCCACAAGGTAATTGAAAAACGACGTTTTCCAACTTAGCCAAGGCTGCGCAGGGGCACCTGGCGTGGGAAGAAATGGTGGTAGCGTCGGTAAGGAAGCCGTCGCCATCCTCTTACCGTTGCGAGATCGTTTGAAAGATTGACAAAAATAATAGAAATTTCACCCAAAATGAGAACGGGAACAATTTTCTGAGTTACGAAAAAGGATGGACGCTTCCGTGCTGTGCGCACTACATGCGTAAAAGGAAAAGAACCATTCGAACGCGTTACGCGTAACCACTACTGATTTTTGAAATGGAACGTTGACGGACGAAATGGAACGAGTGTCGCGATGCGTCGACATTATTTTATGTTCTACATTTCGCACTGAAAAGATGTGGTGGATGCAAATATTCCAAAAGGACCTAACATTCTGAACGCTACAATATTAACTAACACACAAAAAGAAAACCATACATGCCGGTGTTGCCACCACTCATCTCCGGCACGGAGTCTGATCAAATGTTCACGAGAGGCGAAAATGGAAAAATGAAAGAAAAGACCTCGTCGCCAAAATGTAGTAATTAAAGCTCGTCGCCAAAATGTAGTGGTCGCGTGGGGCCATTACGGGTGGGTGGTAAGAGACAGGGAAAGCTAGGATAAAGACAGCGCCCCGAAAGGCCTGTAGAGATGCTGGAAAGGCTTACATTGCCGTGGCGCGTGGGACGCGAGATGGTCGGTGGCCGAGGACCAAGCGGGCACACCGGTAAAGGAAGACACGACACGCCAGCTCGGAGTTTCGATCAAGACTGCTTGTATTTACAATATCTGCATCAATCAGCGCGTGCCGCTGTCAAGCACGCGGCGCGCGGCACCATCTCAAATGCAGGTGAAAACGCCATCTAGATTATTTACAGCACACTACAGTTTGCTTGCCCAGACTTGAGAGCGGCTCACTCGTGTCCGCTCGCTTCTGATCTTTGCAATTTAAAAGTGAATATAACACTCGCGAAAAGAGAAAGCGAGCGCGGCAGCAGGATAACAGCAGAGACAGCAGCGATGCTGGCGGGCCGGAAAAGGCGCCATTGCCTAGAATGATTCTGCAGTAAATACGTATGAAGCTTTTCCTGATATTTCCAGATATTAGCTATTTATTTAGAACAATTTCTTTTACAACTGAATATAAAATGTTGCTTAATTTATTTTGCTAGTAACTTGTTAATATTTAGTGTCTACGCGTTTACTTCTCATTTTTCTCATTTACTGCGGAGATGCATGCCTCGGAAGCCAGGGAAGTGCAGCTTCCAGTTTCCTCCTACCATCGCGACGACGCTAACGACCCGGCGCGTTGCGGCAGAAGGGCAAACTAAGTACCGTGTTGGTGCGGCACTCTCAACAGATGGCGCGGTACTCGCCACAGATGGAGTACCCTCCCTTCCGAAACCGCCCCGCCAAAACGGTGCCCCCCTCTCTGTCGTGTAATGTAGATGGTTGAGCGTGTTGGTTATTAATTCACGATAAGGAAAGAGGGACATTTAAGACAAACAGACAAGACAGGCTTTCGACTTTCAACAAAACGTTTACTGGCTCGACTTCGCCTCCTGAAGCTCAACGAGGGGCGTCGGGGAGGTAGAGAGGGAGGATGGTGGGTGAGAGAAGCGCGAGCCCGCTCGCAGCTGAGCGTGCATAGCAGAAGGGGGGGTCTGCTGAGTGTCAATCGACACGTCGCCGTTACACGCAGCCCCGAGTGCGGGCGGAGCCCTCTTGGGGAAAGAAGGGAGGAGGGAGGGGGGGGGGGAGGGCGACGGAGAAGAGAAGGAGAAGATGTGCCGGCGGTGCCGGCGGTGCTCTCTTGGGGAAGGAAGGGAAAGGGGGGGGGGGGGGAAAGGCGCTGAAAAGAAAAGAGAAGAAGATACGCGAATTTAGACTTTTTATGTCTTTGGAGGAGCCCTCTCGCCCCGCAGGAAGCGAATCTCTCGATCAGAAAGAGAAAGGGATGGGCTGGACAGGTTTGAGACTGAAGATTTGATATGTAGGGATGTTATGTACCGGCGCCACCGGCAGGTGGACTAAGCAGCCGATGCCGCGACCCTCGTGACAATCACGTGCTAGTGAGAGCTCGGGCACTTGTTCCTTGACCGAGAACCGCGATGGACGCACCGTCCACACTCTAAAGCTGACAGTAAAGCTTGTGTTTATCAATTGGCGACGAGTGAGAGAAACGAACCTGCGGCTTTGAGAAGATGGCGACTCACGGCACCATGGAAGCGTTCTCGGGAAAGGGGTGGTCATCTTGGGCGGAGCGGCTCATCTACTACTTCGAGGCCAACGGCATCAGGGATGGAACCAAGAAACGGGCCGTTCTGCTAACTCTGTGTGGTCCCTCCACATTTGAAACGGTCAAGGCATTGGTGGCTCCCAGGTCTCCAAGTGAGTTGACTTTCGAGGAGATCGTGAATTTGCTACAAGCACATTTTGATCCCCGGCCGGCAGAACTGTTCAGCCGTTGCAAGTACCAACGGCGAGATCAGCAGCCCGAAGAGTCAGTGACCGCTTACGTCGCTGCTCTTAAGAAACTTGCAGCAGACTGCAATTTTGGGAACGTTCAAGTGACTCCGACGACTAGCACAGCTAGCCTTCCCGTCTCAGCACTAGCTGCTGGGGCAGCCGACGGCACGGTCAGCACGGTCACAACAGCGGTTTCCAGCAACGCGACGATGTTACCCATGGACATAATGTTGCGCGATCGTTTTGTTTGCGGTCTTCAAAATGAAAATCTCCAGCAGCGGCTATTTGCGGAGCGGGACCTTACGTTTCTCAAGGCGTTCGACATTGCCGTACGAGCCGAGAGCGCCAAGGACCACCAGCGGCAAATAAAAGCAGATTTTCAAGAAATAAACAAAGCGGAAAAAACGCGTCCGGCGCATCGTCGCCAGGAGAAGACGACGCCATCGTCCACGCCCTGCTATCGCTGCGAAGAACTCCACAGTGCTAGTTCTTGCAAGTTCCGAACATCGCAGTGTCGGTACTGCAAAAAGACGGGACACATCGCGAAAGCTTGCTTCAAGAGAAAGAAAAACAGCCAAAACTCCGTACAGGCACTCGAACCACAGGAAAATCATGGCCCCTTTACAGAACCGTCAGGCACGCTGGGCGACTTGTACGCCGTAACACCGCGGCGGGAGCCGGCAGAGAAGGTTATGATAAGCCTGGAGGTTCAGGGTGTTCCTCTCAGATTTGAGGTGGACTCGGGAGCGGCGTTTTCTTTGATCAGCGAACAAACGTTCCGAGCAGCGTGGCCGAGGAATCCTCCAGAATTTACAGACGATAACATCGCTCTGCGTACCTGGTCTGGGGAAGGCATCGAATCTCTGGGAACAATTCACGTCATGGTCCAGTTCAAGAAACTGAAAGTGAATTTGCCTCTTCTTGTGATGAAGCACCCCGGATGTAACCTTCTTGGGCGGAATTGGTTTGCAGCCCTGGGAATTGGCCTCAGCGGCGTGCACCAGGTGGTGTTGGACGGCAGCCTGACAGCCACCATCGAAAGGTACGGGTCAGTTTTTGACGGAAACCTGAACGGCTACAACGGACCAGCGGTAAGCCTAGAACTGGAAGACAACGCGTCACCCAAGTTTCTACGAGCTCGCACTGTGCCATTCGCGCTCAAACCAGCGGTGGAAGCCGAGCTGCAACGTCTCACGGAACAAGGCATCCTTGAACAGACTCAGCACTCGAATTGGGCAACACCCGTTGTAGTAGTAAGGAAGAAAAACGGCAGCATCAGACTTTGTGGTGACTACCGCAGCACCGTGAACGCTGTGACGCTCAAAGCGTCATATCCACTGCCGACAGTGACAGAGGTGCTCGCAAAGCTGCGGGGAGGGAGAATTTTCTCCACCATCGACCTGGCTCAAGCATACCAGCAGTTACGAGTCACCGAGAACACAGCTGACGTTCTTACCATCAACACGATAAAGGGCCTTTATCGGGTCAAGCGACTTCCTTTCGGCGTCTCGGCAGCACCAGCCATTTTCCAGAAATGCATGGAGACAACACTTGCAGGGATATCCGGTGTCAGCGTGTATCTGGACGACATCATTGTCAGCGGTGCCACAACCGCGGAACACGCCCAGCGCCTGAACCTTGTCCTGTCAAGACTCCAAGAAGCTGGCCTGCGAGCAAACCGTGAGAAGTGCCTATTTGGCGTTCCTGAGGTCACTTACCTGGGCCACACGATCGATGCGGTTGGTGTTCAGCCAACCAACGACAAGATCAAGGCGTTCAGGGAGTTGCCAGAACCTACGTCAAAAGCCACGCTGCAGTCGTTCCTCGGAATGCTCGCATTCTACGACAGGTTCTTAGAAAACCGAGCGACTGTAGCCTGCGATCTCTACAGACTACTAGCCAAGAACGTCCCTTGGCACTGGGAAGAGCGCCATGCCCTCGCTTTCCGGAAGTTGAAAGAGTTAATACTCCGCAAGACAACGTTGGCTCACTACGATGAGTCAAAACCACTGCTTCTGTCCTGTGATGCGTCACCATATGGCGTCGGCGCAGTTCTTGCGCAAGTCGACCACGAGGGCAGGGAAGCTCCAATCGCATTCGCGTCAAGAACTCTAGGGGATGCCGAGAAAAATTACTCACAGCTTGATCGAGAAGGATTAGCAGTGGTGTTTGGGGCGATGCACTTTCACCAATACATCGCCGGACGAAGTGTCGTTATTATCACCGATCACCAACCACTGCTTGGCATCTTGGGACCGCAGAAGCCGGTACCACAAGTCTTGTCACCCCGAATGCGGCGATGGTGCGCCAAACTGTCGGCGTACGATTACAAACTCGTGTACAGGCCTGGAAAACGACACCAGAACGCGGATGTTCTAAGCCGTCTGCCCCTACCTGACAGTGACGACGAGCCTTGCTCACCGGGAGACGTCCTGATGATTGAAGCTTTGACAAGTTCTCCGCTGACAGCAGAGAAGATAGCAGCCATGACATGCGCGGATCCGATTCTGTCCCGCGTCTACGAGGCTGTGCAGCAAGGCAAACTTCATGAGCTCACGGAGAAGGACTTTACCGCGTACAGAAAAAAAGGCGCAGAGATGTCCACTCAAAGAGGATGTGTCA